ATAGATCCAAAACTAATAGAGGAAGGAAAAACCATAACATGGATATCCACATTTATGTTGACAGTTCCTCTTCTTTTCCTTTCCTGGTACCATCTCCCTTTTTCAGGTGTCAAAGAAACGCAATGTACAGTATCTCTTATCTGAAACAATTCCCTAAACAACTGAATGAGACTAAGAGGTACAAATAATTAGGTTAAGCTGCCCAGCCTGTTTTTAGGAACTAAAGGACAATGTATGCATTTGTAACACTGTAAGCATTAATTACAAGTATTCCTAATTTGAATAAAGAATAGAGTATATCAAAAATATCCTCCATGGCACTCAGATATAAAATGTGCTTTCTTTGACGGAACAATGCACTCAAGATTCACAGAAAATCCTGATTAACTTAATTTACATTCTGGTAAAATTAAAGTAAGTTGTTTAGGAAGTTAATGAAGAACTCAGACTGTTTCTTCTAAACATGCAGAAAATGGAGTATTTACAAGGAGTGATTAGATTATATATTTATACTGACAGTCCTAGGGCAAAGCATTCATCTTACATCTGCTTTATGGTTTGCCAGAGATTTTGTATTAAATTACACTAAAATTCTGATTATAGTATATTACTGCATTGTTGTTGTTTTGAATAATGTTGGCATTTCTTTTGTTAACCATTCACTGCTATGAAACTAGTGAACTAAGGCTTAATTGAAGAAGCACCATCTGCTACTGTGAAGTTTCCAGAAAATAAAGATATTTATGAAATAATTGGAATGAAATACAGACACCATATCAATCCAGCACGATGTTCCAACTGGCAAATCATAGTTTATGATCAGCAAGCAAGTCAGAATCAAAATCATTTTGATCACTATCTCAAAATATAGTTAATGCTGTATGTGACTTGGCATAGTAGTTGCACTAAATTATTTATTCTGCCTTGGGAAGAATTCATCTTGAAGAAATTCAAAATGATTTGGATTCTGGAGAGCCTGGAGTTGGGGAAGAGCTGAATACACAGCTCCTGCTGAAAAAGGAAGCTTCTATATGTTGAATTCTGAAGTTTAATTTGAAGCCTCAATTAGTGTCCCCAAACAACTGTTATCAATAATAGTAGCATCACCTTTATTGGGTATCAACACCTTCATTAACACAATTGCCTATAGTCTTGAGCTGGACCTTTGGATTATCAACTGTTTTACTGTTCTTCTCCAAATAAATTACATTTCCTGTTAATATTAATACACAAACCTGTTCTTTAACAGCATACAATTTTGGAAGCAAAAATAGAGTAGATTTAATGTAAAGACTACAAATGTAGTTTTCTTCCTAGAAGATAGCTTATCTGAAATATATTAAAGCATTCAAAGATCTACATTGACTTCACATTCACACCAGATGTGCCAGCTGTTCTTGTCAATATCATAGAGGCAAGGACCATGCACAGAGATGACTCACATCTAGAACACATGGAAGCAGCTTATTAATTTCTTCTCTAGCCTTTGTCAAATGTTCTACAGCTATATATAAAGATGAGAAAGAAGCATAATTCACTAATGGAAAGTTGAAAATAAGTCCATTTGTCTCTCAACCCTTTGTCCAAGGTAATATGTATGTGGCAAATTATATAGCTGATTAAAGTTATAAATTCCTCAACATCACTTCCCTAGCCTTTTTCAAATGGCTATATAAAAATCAGAAAAATCTATAATTAACTCATTCAAAATGGGGAACTAGTCAGTTTTTCTCTTAACTTTTTGCCCAAGGTAATATTTTTTAAATTTTAAGTTCAGCCAAATTCTTCTAAAATAAGCTGCTCCCTTAAAACATACTGCCTTCTTTGAGACTTAAACCAATATTGTTTTCGGCAGTTCACAAATTAAAGCAGCACTCTTGTATCAACTGCTCTTTAGTGCTCTGTTTACCATCTACTGGAACAATTACTAACATCACGCTGGGCTAGTGAAAACAGCAAATAGATGCACTAAAAGGCTGGGACACAGGCAGCAGAATGATTTACCCCAATTTGAAATACACCCACATTATATGCAGCTGCTATTAAGATCACTTACACTGCTGAGATCAACAGAGTTACGCTGCCTTAGACCTGCTTTTTACTTCCCAAAGTGTAATTCAAGGTTATGTTATGATTTTGTGGATAAAACCACTCAGATCCAAGCAGAGCTGGACTCTTGCTTAGACAGTTCCAATGGAAATGACTGGGTTTTTGTCTTGTGAAGTCATCTGTGATCAGTGTGAGTTTTTGAGTATCATGGAAGTGGATAAAGGTCTCTATGGTGTCAACTCTGCTACTTTTCAACTGGATTCCTATTTCTGATGGTTAGTCAAGGGCTCTCACAGATGGTAAGAGGTTAGGACTGAGCAGTAATTTATACCTCTCTAAAAGAAGCTGTGGTAGGCCCACTATTCACAAAGCCTTCCCTCAACCTTGCTACTCTTGATAATTTTGGACAGCTCTCCAGTTTCCCTTTCCAGAAAAGGCAGTAGAGAAAGTGATGCCGCCTTCAGAAGGCTCCAGAGGAATGGGATTAACTGGATCTTGGCAGAGTGGTTTTACCGTATAGCATAGAAACTGTGTTGATCACATTTGTGGATGAGCTTTAGAGAGACTGGGTTTAGGAGAGTGCAACCCTATTGGTCCTCCTTGATTACTCAATGGATCTATGATATCTTGATCTTTATAGGACTGGAATGGTGGGCCATTCTTCACTGATTTTCCTCCTGCCCAAGGAGTTAGTTCTGAATGGTATTTGAGGGGGGGATGAGAGATCAACTCAGAGGTCTCTACTTCATGGATTGCCTTAAGGCCGTCTACTCTGTCCGTTCCTCTTTAACATCTACCTGGAATAGTTGAAGGAGGGTATCTATCAGCAGATAATAGGGTATCTTTGGTATAACTTCTGGTACCTACTTACACAGCAATAACTAGAAAATATATTTATTTGTTTATAAAATGTATTTCCCATCCATCTTACATCCAGTGATGTTATGAATCTCTTGCAAAATACAAGTCATTAACAATATTTTCTTCTCCTGATAATTGCTATATGGTTGTGTTAAAATAAAAGTAAAGTTTTCTCTGTCCAATCATGTACAACCCTAGGATGCAGCGCTCATCTCCATTTCTTGGCTGAGGGACCAGCATTGTCCAAGAATGCTTCTGTGATCATGTGGTCTACACAAGTATATGCCAAAGGTGAAAGGAACTAGAAGTTACCTTTTTAGTAAAGCACTACCTATTAATCTACTCGCATTTGCGTGCTTTCAAACTGCTACGTGGGTAGGAGCTGGGCAGGAACGGGAGTTCACCCTGTTGTGTGGCACTTGGGTCTCGAACTTGAGCTGTCAGCTTTCCAACTATCAAGTTCAGTGTGTTTAAATGTTGAGTCATTGCACTCCCCTTTTTAAACTGTATTATTTACTGTATTTATAAAGTGCATTAAGGCAAAAATGGCTTGCCTTATATTTAGCACAATGTAAGAGCGTACAATAACACATGAAGCCAGAGAGAAGATAACATTGGCTACAGTCACTGCGTTCTCAACATTTAGATGATCCAGAAACTGCAACTACTGTATGAAAAATAGGGAAGAGTCCCTATTGTCAGCCCTGGAACCATTCTCCCTGGCCCCTGGCATCTTCAGGGCTGCCACAGTAGAAGCCAAGTGAGCTGTGGGAACTGGGGGGGGGGGGTAGAGATAGCAAGGACTTTGTAACCAAAATGAAATTCTTTCCTCTAAGGACCAAGGACGTTCCCACCAGGTATGAGGAGGCTGGACATGAGTCCGGATGAACTTTGGATTGTGACCTGATTGGGCATGTGATGATCTGCATGGGCAGGAAGAGGAAAAATGCATTTTTAACTGGGGGGAAACCTGAGGGACTTTAGAGTTGGGTTTCCCCAGGTGGGCCAATATGACATACCTAATAAATTTTTACTTTGAGAAATATGCTTGCCTCGGAGTTTTGATTCTGTTGGGGGTGTTACCTGGAACCCTGACACTATATTGATTGGAACACCTGATAATGTCATGAAAGCACTAAAGGATCTGCATAGATTGCCAGTTTGTTTCCAAGTGCAGTTCAATGCTGGTAATCACCTTGAAAGTTCCAGAGGGCTAAAGTCTGGCTTCTTATGACACTATTATAGACAAAGTAAAATCTGTCCTCCTGCTCCCAATTTTAATATTCAGGAAGTTTTAAAAATCATAGCTTTTTAAATATGCAATTTGAAGCAGTTGTATGCTTCACTATACTTACTGAAACAGTAGTGGGTGGAAGTAATTTTATGTAATGAATATTTTGTAATTCAGGGATATTTGACACTACAGTTTTATATTTGTATTCTATAATTTATTGAATATTTTGATACATTTTTATCACTAGATTGATATATATTTGTACATTGCCAAACTAAAGCAAATTCCTTACACCATTAAAGGTATACTCTGAGAGCTTCTAGGGAGGAGCTGAGTTGACCTTCTTCCTCCCACTCAACCTATCTAAAACTTTGCCGTCTTTTATTCCTCTGAAATGCATATTCTCCCTCCTGGGAATCCACACTACATTCAACCACACCATGCACCAGTCAGTTTTTTGGCAGTTGGTGGTAGCACAACCATAATAAAGTATACTTTTTGTACATTTGGGTTATTTTTTACTTCTAGTGACTGCAGATGAATTTCTAAATAAAGCTTGCATTGTGATTTAAATGAACTTTAAATTTCAAGAGCCAGTTTGGTCTAGTATTTAAGGTACCAGGCCAGAAAGCAAGAGACAGTGAGTTCTAGTCTCGCCTTAGTCTTGAAAGTCAGCTGGGTGGTATTAGGACAGTTACTCTCTCAGCCCAATCTACCGCACAGGGTTGTTGTTGTTGAGAAAATAGGAAGAAGGAATATTAAATATGCTTGCCACTTTGAGTTGTTTATAAAAATAATAAATAAATAAATTTCATGCCTGTAATTTACACTAACTTCATTCATATACTTGACTTACCTAATTCTTTAGATCCTTGACTTTCACTGGCCAATTCTCCCATTTTAACCAGGGCATCAAAATATCCTTTTGCAGCATATGTCACACCTAGATAATAAAAAGTATAAAATTAAAACATTACAACATATTTATTTTAACTTAAATTCTCAAAATATCACACAAAAGGTTTTAATAGCATCTGTTCAATTACTTTCATTAATAATAGTAATGATACCATATAACCATTTATAATTATAACAAATTATTATTAAAACTATTACTATTAATATTGTTTAATTTTGCAGAATATTAGCAAGAAATCAAAATGGAATCTTTAAAATTACCAGAAGATCCTATTATAGCTTTTAACAGCTTTTGCTGTCTAGATGTTAGGGTTGTAGAAAACATCCCTTATAAATTAAATACAGGAAATTAAGGAAACCCTACAATTTGCAAAATTTCAGTCCAGTTCCACATAATTATAGATAACCTTGAACTTAAGACCACAACTGTGCCCAAAATTTCTGTTGGTAAACAAGAGAGTTGTTAAGTGAGTTTTGTCCCATTTTACAATCCTTCTTGCCAGCTGTTCTGTTAGTAACATGGTTGTAAAGTAATCTGGCTTCCCTACTGACTTTACTTGTTGGAAATTCACAAAAGATGATCACGTGACCCAGGGACATTGCAACCGTCATAAATACATGCCAGTTGCCAAGCATATGAAGTTTGATCATGTGACTGTGGGGATGCTGTAGTGGTTGAAAGTGTGAAAAATGGTTATAAGTCCCTTTTTTCAGTGCCTTTCTAAGTTCAAACTGACATTAAACATATGGTTGTAACTTAAGGACTTCCAGTATTCCATCAGTATTCCCTAACCTGGACCTCCAGGAGATGTGTGAATTTCAGCTTCTCAAATTGGCATCTAGGCTGAGAAGATTCAAAATGTAAAATGTGTTGGCCTTTTATCATTAGGCTACCTCCAAACTTTATTAAGAATTTGAAATTTCTTCAATGTCAAGAAAATGGGAAGCTACCAACCTGATGGATTTGTCTGGATTGCTTAAGCTTTTGGAATCTGGGTGTACAGACTGAAATTACCTTTTCCAAGACAGCCCAATGAAGCATACACATCCTTGACATTACCTTAAGAATAGCTCTAAAACTATTATCAAGATCTATTTATTTATTTAGCATACGGCATAATGTTAAGAAACTAACTAGCGTGGGCTTTCAAATGCAGCTCCTAGATTTAAGGTGGTTTGTTGAAATTCTAACTGCACACACATCATTTTAATCAGATAAGGAGAGAGCTCCTCATAGTCAACTAGAACACATTGCATAAGCTTTGTCACTAACTTGTGACAATTTGTGAAAATAGTTTTGCCTCAAGCTATGTTGCTCTTACAAATGCTATCTGTTTAAAATGCTTACCTTTCGAGAGAACCCAGATCAGAAAATGAAAGAGAGGGAAAGACTGCCATTTCTAACTATAGATTTATGATGGAAATATGTAAATTCAAGCTTGAATCAGATGAAACTAGAATGGAAGCATCAATTCTCATTCAAATATCTTAATGTATTTCTCTTTCAACTTAATCTAGAATAAATACTGACCAAGCATGAAAGAAGTTATGCAGTATTTTTTAAATACAGTTGTGTTAAATGAGTTTAATGTAGTCACACCCCTCTTCTATAATACAAGGTATTAATTGATTTCTCTTTTATTTTTAAAGCATAGTTACTGGTTCCTTTTTTTAAAAAAAAAAACTGAGCTCTAAAAGTCCACTTATCCTCCAATACGTTTCATGGGCTCTGCAGCTATGATACAAATATATATTGGTATATAAGGACTCCAGTTATCATTTGGTTCAAAGCTATGTGAAACTAAGCCAAAGTTCAACAGTTCTCTAAATGTTTATTCTTTCTCTTTAGTAAAATTGTACTTTTCCACATTTCACAGTTGAACAAGAAGAGATTTACTTGTAATTCTTCCATGCCTAGTTCTTCTAACACTTCGTCTCCAGAACTGTCAGGATTTCAACACACAAAATTTCCAGACGTTACAGTTCATTGTCTGCCCTATATTTAATTTATACCTTCTGCCTATTCCATAATAGTTACCATAACTAAATGGCCCATAACAATTTCAGCCCTTTATTATATTGCATCTTAAAATCCAAAGCATAATTTGACCTCATAATAAATCTTCTTGCATTTGTTAGAAGGGTAACAGCTTTCAAAATTCAGCAATAATTACATTAACCAATATCTGGATGTGCACTTAACTGTGGGAAGGATAATGGTGTAGATTACTTCTTGGCCTTTTGCCTAAAAGCAAATATGTATGGGACAGGGGTTGCCAACCTTTTGGACCTCAGGGACCACCAAACTCATAAATTTAAAACCCAGGGACTAACAGGTTCTGTGGGCATGGCCTAATTTGTGGGTATGGCTTGGTGGTCACGTGACTGGCTGGGCATGGCTTGTATGTAAATATTATAAATATTTATATAAATATTGAATTTTTTATAAAAAAAGAGCAACTTTTACCCAAAATCAGGCAAAGCAGGCAGGCAGATTGAGTTGCTCACAGAATCATTCAGTGATCTATCTATCTGCCATCGGCTAGCTCAGTCTCTCAAATTTGCTTGCCGTGAGTCTGCACTGAATAATAGAATTTTCAGTCCTAAGGGAGGTTCGGCTGTGCTTAAAAGCAGAACCCAAGTTCTAAAGATTAGCTAGAAAGCAAGAAATCCAACCATTTCCTGCTTCCTAGCTAATCTAAATCTCCAGGCACAGCAGAACAGATGGTGGTCGGAAAAAGGAAAAATAGCAATTTAGCAGGCAACTTTGCCAGGTAAGGAGTTAGTGGGCAGGGCAGCCTTGTGTTTCTGCGCAGCCTGGATAATTGCTTTTGGGGGGGCGGGGAGCTCTGGGGGTGAGATTTCTCTGCAGCCCAACAAAATTTTCTCATAGCCCACGGCCCACCGTTTGGCAACCACTGGTATGGGACAAATGTACATAATGCAATTTTAAAAGATCATTCTGAAAAATCTGAATTGCAAAGTAACTATCATGAATAAATATACAGTATGGTCATAAATATTCATTTTAACCTCGTTTAATAAATGTTTTCCATGCAAGAATACAAAGGAATTGTATTCAAATGCTGGATTTTAAATTAGTTGCATTGTCATAAATCATGCTATGTCTTTTACTTCCGCTGATTTTGGTCACAGACTTATATGCAAGTATACAATTTTCCCCTTGTTTGATAGGCTACTCCAACTGTAAAGCAGTCACAAGTATCCATATTTTATACATACATAGATACATACATAGGAAAAGAATGTGAATCAAAGATGAGGAGTCTAGGACCAACAGCGAGGGATGCTGGGAAATGCAATTTAGTAACATCTTAGGGGAGGGCACAGATTCCCATCCCTGTCCATTTATTGTTTATACTTACAATGTTTATATAGATAATCCTTGACTCATGACCACAATTGGGACTGGAATTTCAGTCGTAAGTCAAGGTACTCATGTGATTGAACTCAATTTTTTTACTACTTTTACAGCAGTTGTTAAACAAATCACACAGTTATAAGTTGAACTAATGCGATCATTAAGCAAATCCATTCCCCTCATGGGCATGTTTGGGTTTCTTTTACCAGACACTTCCAAAAAACATCACCAATTGTGGTCACGTGACCGCAGAACACTGCAACTGATTAGTAAATGCAAAGCAGTTGCTAAGAGCCCAAAGTTGTGTGAGTGTGGGGTGAGCAGGCAGTGGTGCAATGGTTTATTATGTGTTTTATGGGCGATGAAGCCCCCTTTCTGGGGCTGTTGTAACTTTAAATAGTCATTAAACAACTGGTCATAAGTCAAGGACTACTTATACTGATCCAAAGCAAAGTGGAAAAAGTATATTATTCTTGCAAAATTGTCTATTAGATATCCTGGGGTATATGAATCAATTCATTACGATGAGGGGTCCTTGGTGCTCTCTGAGTTCGGTTGCTTTCTTGCAGATGTTTCATTACCCAAACTTGGTAACATCATCAGTGCTAATACACTGATAATGTTATCTGGTTCGAGTAATGAAATACCTGAAAGAAAGCAACTAAGCTCAGACAATAGCAAGGATTTCTCATTTCAACTCTGTATTCTCTTTTATTTTGATGAGCTAGAAAAGCATTATATGTCAAAATGTTATCAAAAAGGGACTGCATAATTTCATGCATTTTTATGATAGAATAACATCTTCTTACGTAAATTTTCTTTCTGGCAAAAGATTATCAAAACACATTTTAAATCAAAGTTTCAATACTTCAGCTTGTTCTGAAGATTTCGATTCAGTCTCTGAATACACTGAATAGAAAAGTGCAGCTCTTGAATGTATATGGAGTTCTCTTGCTATGAGAAAGCCTGGCTCTGTTTGCACCTTAGAAAATGTAGACTTTTAGCAGGTATCAGGACCTCAAGTAGCCACTGGAAAACAGCTCAAAGGTATGCTAAGTAGTTGGCTCACAAAGGTAATCTGCTGGTTTTAACAGATTTCTCTAAATCAGAAGATCTAGTATTCACACTGGTCTGATTCTGCTGGCTCCACTAGCAAAGCAATAGGACAAAGCTATATAATATTTCTGTGCTGCATATATATTGGAGGAAGCTGGTTTGGAAGAAGCGGAGGTTGGTTTTAAAATTGATGAAAGAAACATGAATAATCTAATGCTATGCTGCTGACATTAATATGATAGCTGAAAATGCATATAATGTGCAAGCTCTCGTAATGAAAGCCAAAGAACACAATGAAAAATGGCACATTAAACACACAGAAGCCCAAACTAATAATACCAGGTACTGCGACCAACCTTAGAACTGACATTGAAATGGTAGATAGTTTCTGCCTTTTAGCCTTTTGATAGATAGTTTTATCAACAATAAAAGAACCAGCAATCAAGAAATAAGCCACAGACTAGTACCTGGTAGGGTACCAATTAAGGACTTAGAAAAGATACACTGATTCTGTGATGTGTACAAAGATCAGAACTGTGCAGGCAATTATTTTCCTGCAGCACTATAGAAGCAAAAGCTGGACTCTAAAACAGAAGGGTAGAAAATGTATAGATGAGATGAATGGCCCCAAAATCAAATCTAACCAATCTAAATCTAAGCTGTATTTTGCATTTCCAAAACAGGGGGAATCACTATTGTTTGCTTTCTAGAGAGAACCCTGTTGCAAATTGAAGAAACCTTAACAACCTGCTTGAGAACATTCATATTATTTTGACTTAATAAAGATATTTTTATGATGTGGCTATTGGAATGTTTCTTATTGTCCATCAACATGATTTCTACTGGGTTCTTGGTGTCAAAGCGTTACCCTGAGAACAGCAGTACACCTCTCTCTAGAAAACACAAATATATGCTCATAAGCTTAAGAATTGAATTCAAGAATGAAGTTAGATAAATTGCTTTCATTGCAGATAGCGAGAAAGTTCTCAGCACAGCAAAGATCAGCTATTATGGAATGTAGAAATCTAGCCATGTTTATGTATCAACACCAGATTCTCTCTCCATCTCTTTCTCCTGCACTTACATGTCATGGATTTTTTTTGCCATCCATTTGTCAGTTTTGGATGTTGAGGGGACTTCCAGAGTATTTGGATAATAATATTATATAGTCTTGGGATCTTTATTTCTAATCTTCTAATCTCCACCCTTTTATTTGGTGTCTTTTATTGAAGCTTCTCTTTTCATAAGCAAGAGTCAACTTCTGTCAGCCCTTTGAGGTAGGCCAAGTCAAGAAGTCAGATATCAGAAGGACTACTGGAACTATTGTATTATTGTAAGATATAATAATAAAATCTTTGGAGCCTGCAAGCATTTCCCTATTAGCTTATAGTTATGGTGACCATATTTTCTTGGAAGAAAATGAACAAACTTAAAAAAGGGAAAACTCTGCAAAAGGCTGCTAAGGATAAAAAATTAATTGTTTATGCTTATAATTTTGTAGGGTTTTGTTTTGTTTTTGTAAATTCAAGAACTTTGCCAAGATACATATTCTAATAAAAATATTCAAAATCAAACAGAATAGATTAAATTTATTTTAAAATTTCCATATTTTTACGCGAATGTTCATTATGTGGCACCATTTGTACAGTAAAAGTTAAATCATCCAAATAAAGGTTAAATGTGAATTTTTGAAAAATAAATACATCTTTCTGAAATAAAACATAACATAACATAGGATATGAGGTTCATAACATAGGATATGTGGTTACTGAACCTACATTATACAGAAACTTGCAAGAAGTGGCTATTTTGAATATTTTGATCTCTTTTTCATGTTTCTGCTCATCTTGGAGGCAAGTGTTACAGCCCTCACAGTCATTTATGGTCTCTTTTGTTTGTTAACAGTTCTTGCATTTCTTCAACAATGTGACCTCTGCTTTTCTCTACAACACTGGATACAGCTGATCTTGCCTAAGAAGCTTCTCATGATTACGTGTGTTAAAAATGGCTGATGTGAAATACAGGTAGTCCTCAATTTATGACCACAGTTGGATCTGGAATTTTGGCCAAAAATCAGGGTGGTTATTGAGTGGATTGCCATGTGACCCGATTTGATTATACAACTGCTTTTGCAAAGGTCATAAAGTGAGTCACCACAATTATTAAGCAAACCACCTAATTGTTAAGTGAATCCAGCATATCCAATTGGTGTTTTTCGTTGTTTTCTGCTGAAAACTGGCAAAAAAACATTAAAAATTGAAGGAACATGACCAAGCTGCAGCCAGTCATGTGACTGTGGGAGGCTAGGGTGACATTTTACAATTGTCAGAAAAGCTTTACGTGCCATAAAACACCCTTTCCAAAGTTGAAGTAACTCCAAACAGTCATGAAGCAGCTGGTCATTAAGCGAGGACTACCTGTGCCCTGAAATCGTAAGATTTAAGTAAATTGTTCATCAGTCCCACTACATCTAATCTGGATAAAGTTGCAATGGACACACTGGCTAAAGTTGACAATATGAAACCAGTTTTGCCTAAGTTTAACTCAAAGCTTTCATCTTATGTGTCAGCTAAACTTTAAACACTTTAAAAATGATTGAAATGCCCATTTTGAACTTGAAATAGGGAATTTTTCACTCAAAACAATTATTCTAAACTTGATGTAGGGCATTTCAATTTCAAAAACATTTCAATCCAAAACTTTTGCATATCTCTACCAATTCAGGTCTATCAATAAAAAAATTTGTCTGCAATTGTTATTTTTTTAAAAAGATATAGTATGTTAAGAAAGTACAGAGAGACAAGATGACATGGAGAGACTAAGAAAACTGAAGTCCCAAGAATACGGAATGGGTTATCCTGTTGATAACCCAGCAGCCTGTTCCTGGCTCATAATTGTAAAGAAGGTCTTCTGTATTATAGTACTCCAAGTCTTAAGAGAGCTTTCATGCCTCATATGTCATAAAGAACACTACCCTTGTAACTTAATTCAAAGAACTGCTTCGTAGCTTGTCTGAGACAGCTGAAAGCCTCTTTAGCACTAAGGATGATACTGACAACACTTTCCACAGATACTACTAGTTTTTCCCACCTTTGCCATCACCAAAGGTTTAAAAAAAAGAGGTGCCATTTCTACAGTTGTCATAAGACAGCCATGATAAACTAATACAGTGTTATTTCACTTACCTGCCAAGGCCTTTTCATAGTTCTTTCCCATGGATATGAAGTTCCGGAGGCTGGGATTAAATTGTTCCATGATTGTCTATAAGAAAACAAAAAAGACATTAGCAATCTAAATATCGGAGCCATTTGTGTTTTTCTACTCCTTCTCTACAATATGTATAAATACACAAGATTCAATCCATTATCCCATGAATTCTTAGAAAGGGAACCCTTCCATATCCACATACACAGGCAATACAAACTTAAGTCACTGTTCAGCAGAGGGCTGGACTAGAAGACCTCTTGGAAGGTCCCTTCCAGCTCTACTCTGATTGATTGATTGATATTTTTTAAGATAATAATGTATTCTAACAATTTTTTCTATGATTTAACTATATAGCTATATACAATATGAATTCCAGGCCCTACAACTTTCTTGTATGACTATTCAGTATGCCAGGAATGAAAAATATGAAACCGAAGAATAATTAGCTATGAGATATATACAATGAAATATGTAAACACAACTCAGCTAAATAAGTCAATTGAACTGGTTGGATGCCATCTTACATATATTTTTACAAAGGTACTTTTCTCAAATTTTACAACACTAATATAAACGTTATACTTCAACCCCCAGTTAAACATAGGGGCTTGATAGGCTATTTACTGTATTTATTTGTCTTATATAGCCACCAATCTGGACATAGGCAGTTTATATTAAAAAACCAATAAAAGAACAATCAGAGTGTGAAAAGTGCAAACATTAAGCGGGGAAGTACATAAATACAGTTTCAACCATCTCTCATCATTCTATGGAGATCACAAAACACCTTGTTCCCTAGTTCCTTGAAAAACCAAGCTTTTGATGTCTTTCTAAAGCAGCGTTCTTAGGAAATGAAGCAATAACAGAGAAGCCCTTACTGCATACTCTTAGCACTAGCAATCCTCACAGGACTAGCAATCCCACAAATGAGCCTCACTCTGATGTCCTTCTGGAAAACTATAAAAATCTGGCTTTTCTGTAGGGTTTTTCAGGATGGAGACCAGTATTAATCGCTAACCAAGTGCTCCATTACCAAAGTAACAACCCAACCTCCCACATGTGGAGCTGTCTAACAACATGATTCAGACAATTACAAGCAAAATGAGCAGCAGAAAAAGGAAACCGATTCTCTATCCAACATCTTCCAACAAAATGGATGGATACCCATTAGGAGTGGACTTCAAAAAGTTTAGCAAAGGGTTCTCTGCCTGGTTGCTGGGTAAGTGTGGTCATGGTGGCCGTGGCCTAGTCGGCCTCCTGCACCACAGTGTGTGTGTGTGTGGGGGGGTGTTTTTCCCTCCCTGGGCTCTGGAGGCTTTCCTCAAGCCTCCAGGAGGGCAAAAACAACCTCCCTGGGCTCCGGAAACTCTCTGGAAGCTGGAAACAGGCCCATTTTGGCCTTCCTGAACTTCTGGGAGGCTCCTTTTTCATCCTCCCTAAGCCCCTGCACATACCCTGCACTTACCTGCATCCAAAATGGCCGTGTGGGGACTCCTGGAAGGGGCAGGACGGGGTGGGCAGGGCCAGCCAGGAGTGGGATTTGGGGGTTCTCTGAACTGCACAGAATCTTAGCTAGGGGCTCTCCAAACCTCTGCAAACCCCCAGCAGCCCACCCGATACCCATGTGATTTTATCAAAAAGTGTCTAACCACTCAATTTACCACAGCGTAACCAACACAAGCTATGAAAAGGGCAATACTGCCATACATTATAAACATATCAGAAACAACCAACAGACCATTACAAGCACATAGCACCACTGTAGCACATAGGCCAACTAAAGCCCGCCAAAATACCTTAAATAAATCAGAAGAAGAAGAAAAGAATAAACCAAGACAGAAAAGCAGGAGTCATCTACAACATATAATGTAATGACTATGATAGCCACTATGTAGGCTAGGCAGGCAGAAAACTAGCAGACCGCATCCATGAACACCAACTAACAATCAAAAGACACAATGAAAACTCTTAAAATCTTTGATGTTTCTGGATATGTGTTTCTTGAAGGCATATAATGTCTAAGTTCAATTTCTGTAGTTTAGTTATCATTTGTAAATATGTAAATATATGTAAATATGTAAATGTACTATAGAGAAGATTGATATATAAGGATAAAAGATATTGATTTATAGCAAGAGTAAGATTAAGCATAAGAGTAAGATGTAATGGTAAAGGAATAAGTAAATACATATACTGAAAAACGTAAGGAGATACAAAAGATGTCTTGATGTTGATAACAATGTATAAAGTTTTATTTTATGTTTTTTAAAATTTGAAAACTTAATAAAATTTATTTTTTTTAAAAGAAAACTCTTAAAATCAGAAGACACAGACAACAGACTCAATTGCCATGGGAGAGTGTCAAGCTAAATGCCAAAAAATGCTAGGGAATTTCTGGTTGCTTGGCATTCAGACAAATCAACCATCGATAGAGCTGTAGAGACAAACCACATTTATATACCATTCCAGAGAGACAATAAAAAGAGCTAAAAAGGAAACAATGGTGAGCTATTTAATTCCCTCTGTTGCTATAAAATAACAGTTAGCAAGTTTACAAGAATTAAAGATCTTTTTTTAAAGAAGGTTATTTTACTGAGAAGTAACCTCTAGTTTATCGCAACTATAAACAACCTGAATGAGGGCAATTGGCTCAGATAAATAGGTTCTAGCAAATGTTTGCAAGGCAAATCAAAAACATTTCAAATAACAAAAAATGAACTCCTCCTTTGTTTGAAAGCTTTCTCAATTGCTTTGCAAGGAGCAACTCCTGCTAAAAGAGCAAGTGGCAGTTGTGGCTAGGAGATTTGTTGCAACTTTGTGTTGAGCACCAGTTGTGCCTCTTCCTGGACTGGGAGTCCCTGCACTCAGTCACTCAAGGCCTGGTCATCTCACATGGGGCTACCTTTGAAGGGTATTTCAAAGCTACAGCTGATGCAGAATGCAGCCACGAGGACAGTTCTTGTGGCCCTTAGGGTGGTTGATGTTACACTGCTATTCCACAAGCTGCACTGGTTGCCAGTTTGCTTCCAGGTTGAATTCAAAGTGATTGCTATCATCTTTAAAGCTCTTCATGGCGCAGGTTCAGACTGAGGAACTGTTTCTCAGTGGGATTGGCTCGCCTCACCTACTCCAGCAGAAAGGAGCATGCTGCAGACCCTGTCAGTCAAGGAATTCTGGGCTGGTGAGGTCCAGAAGAGTCTTTTCTGCCAAGGTTAGATCCGTGCCCAAACTTTTGCCCTTCTGAAAGGGGCTGAAGATCTGGCTCTGCAAAATGAGGAACCAATGGGGGAATACCTTATCCCAGAGGTGGTTAATGGACTAAAATATGATCCCCCCCTCCCCCCTGGTGTGCATCTTGCTCCTTTCCTGCCCATCTTTGTCAATTATAAATTATTTTAATGTTGTTATTTATAGTTTTATTTTTTATTAGGTTATAATATTGTAAGCTGCCTAGAGCCACCTTGAGGGAAGATGGGAAGCAAATAAATCAAATCAACTCAAATAAATAAAGGGCAGAGAGCCAAGAGTTGAAAAAAAGAAGACAGTGGCAATCCAATCTCTTCACACGCCCTGTCCACATCACTGAAACCTCAAAGAATCCAGAATAACCAGACAAGTATTACTAAAATAAAACATCTGCTGACAGGAGAATTACCAACTACCATCAGGATGGATTTCTGTTGGTGTAATCTGCTACCTGAGCCATCCCTTCATTGCAGCTTTTCTCATTTGAGTCATCTGATAGGAAGTTCCAAATGAAGAATCACTGGGTGTCAGCAACCTGGATGTTAAGGTGCAATTTCCTATGGCCCACATTTTTTCTTGTCAGTGGGGCAGCAGTGGCTAAGATACTTAGAAATTTTGACTGGGTTATAAAAGTTGCTATTTTTATCCCACCCAAAATCCGTACTTTGATTGTAAGCCAGCCTGGATAAATCTAGGCTCATATTATTCCGGATCTAAATTTTGTTGTAGCCATATACATCTATAACAGGAGTGTCAAACTTGATTCCATTGAGGGATGCATCAGGGTGGTGCTTGATTTGGGGGTGGGGGGGTGGGAGGCGTAGCCAGAATGGCCCTGACCAACTTGATGGCACTCCTGTCAAGGGCACCTGTGGTAGCCTGAGCGCTCTGCCAGCAAAATAGGGCTCCCGAGTTTTGCAACAGCCTCCTACAACCCTCTGCCAGCAAAAATGGAAGTCAGGAGGGCCACACACGTGCTCGGGAGGATGGCACATGGCCCTTCCAAGCTCCATTGTCACTGGCAGAGGCAACGTGGGCTGGTCATTCACTGTTTCCCAGGCGGCCCCGCAGGCCAGATCTAAGCACCCCGTGAGCCGGATTTGGCCTGCAGGCCTTGGGTTTGACACCCCTGATCTATAACATTGCACCTCTACAGACAACCCCAGTATGGATTGTTCATTATCACTCTTGTAATCAAAAAAGGATCAAAGCTTTTTATATAAATACTGTGGCAGCTGACAAAGAGTATATGATTGTGTATATAGACAGAAAATGGCAGAGAATCAAGTCTAAACTTATCTAGGCTCTGCTGAAACCAAATTTAAAATATTTTGAGTGATTAACAGGTTTTCCTGTTTAAAAAAGCCTCACATGCATGGGAAAATAGGAGGAGGGAGGTCTGTTGGATATGTTCACTGCCTTGAGTTATTTGTAAAATTAACAAAGATGGGATACAAATAATTAACTAAATAAAAAATATGTGCCCACACATACAGGAAGAGGAGGATAGCCAGGCGCAGAATAAGGAAGGGCTCACTTACCTCCAGTTAGTGAACTATGTTCTTAAACCCTTTTTCTTCATAATCACTGAAAAGAAAGGCTCTTTGTTCACTGTGTGAAACAAGCTGTGAGCAAGTCCTCCTGCCTACTGTAGCTCCACAGCCGCCAAAGTCATTCAATCACTTTGTCATTATGGCACCTTAAAAATGAGACAAGGAATTTGCTAACTGAGCTTGGTAGGAATCACAACTATTTGTTTCTTTCAGGCCCAGAAGCTAATCCCCGAATGTCACCATGCAGTATGGCAA